AATCAGATCAGGCCGCTCCCTGTCTCTGCTGCAGCTAACGGGGTCACCGAGAAAAAGACAGGACAGTTGCACACAGTAACGGCAAAGACAGAGGCCAGCCCAGGGATCTCTGGGACCTTTGGAAGGTGGGGAAGGAGGCAGCCAAGGAATGTTTCCTGGAGAGGGAGATGTCTGCCTGGGGTTTATTTAATACATACCATGGGCAAGAAGAAAAGGCTGGTCTCAGCCTTCCAGGGACCTATCATCTAGCTGGGGAGACAATACCCAGACACAAATCACATTACCAGGCAGAAATACTGAAGGTGCTGTTTGCCTGCTTGAGATGCAGCAGGTTCACCATCGGGTCCCCAGCACCTGCTACTTCGGGGGTGCTAGACAAGTGAATGTGGAAGGCAGGCAGGCAGGCAGGCTTTATAAGGCAGCAATGGTGCCTTATATTATTATTATTATTATTATTATTATTATTATTATTATTATTTTAAAAGCCTTACCTGTGAATCAGAGGACCCCTGGTCTGGCCCTGCCACTAAGTAGTTATGGGAAAGTCACTTAATATCCTTGATCCCCAGTGGCCTTAACTGTAACAGTCAACCTCCCAGAATCACCACCAGGTGCAAATAAGAGAATGTGCACATAACGGGCACTCTGTTAACTGCATGACACTACAGCAATGACAAGGAGGATTCTCGCCAATGACACACGTAATGTCACTTGATTGGACCTCCAGAAAAGCCTAGGGGGTTGGGGAGCTACTGTCACCATCTTACAGGAAAGGAAGGTATAGTTCTTTTCCAAAGGGGTCTGACGACCAATAATCAGCACAAAAGTTAGGACATAAACCTAAACCAGATGATGCCAAAGTCTGAGCTCTTTCTCTAGTTAGGAGTATTATTACAGAAGTCCCATTCAATGGGATCTGAGAGGAAAAGTCAAATTTATGTGGCCAGAGGGAGAAGGGGATTCACCCGTGACTCATTCACACATCAAGTCCTAGATGCTAAGAATCTATATAAACCACTTTCAGGGCCTGACCAAAGCAAGCCCTGAGCCCACGCTGATTTAAAAAGAATACTGAGCATTCTTCCATATTAAAATCTTCGCCCCTGATACTCTTCATAGTGCGGTACAAGGCAAATTGAGAGGAGGCTAGGTAGGGGGTGATACTTCACTGTTTTTGCTCCTAATCTCTCTGCTGCTAGAGTCATTAAACCTTTACAAGGCAGAGATAGGAACCGCTGCTTTGCGGATTTGGAAGGAATTCCCATTATGCTATAATTCCAGAATCTGAGATACATCTGAAAAAGAAGTCAAAGCGACTAGATTTTTCCATATCTCCTGCCATCGAAAGGTGTCTGCTTTCTCTATAACTTCTGATGATTTGCACCTCCCGGTCACATTTGAAACGGCACCGCCACCCCACTCCTTTGCTGTGGGGACACTCAGACTGGAGCAGGGGCATGCAAGTCAGCCAAGGATTCTCTTGTTGTTTTAAACAAACCTGAGGTCGGCAGGAGAAGGCCCGGGCAGCAAATATCAAGATGATTAGATTTCCAGACCGGGTTCCCCACCCCCACCCTCCCTGACTGTCACTCACGCCCTCTGATCAGAAGCAGATCCTGGACGGAGGCAGCCAGGCTCTGTGACCAGTCATGATGCGGAAGTGGGAAACGTGTTGTTGTTGTTTAATTTAAGCTGTATATAGCTTTTCCAGAATCGGGTGCACTAAAGTGAATTACTCATTTCTCCTCTGAGGTCTTGCCTCTGCTTATTTCCATGAGTACTCTAGTACTTAATGGCAGGGAAGTGGGTAAGCAGACCTCGTTATGAGCCCACATCTCACACATGCCCCCAGCTGGATCCAGAGGTAAAGGTCCTTTTGCAAAGAGCACGGGAGGAAGAGTCAAGAGATCTGGGTTTTAGTGAATTAACTACAAGGAAAGAGCGGGAGCGGCAGGATGGGTCCCAAGGCTGGCGTTCCTTTCCTGATTCTATTTTTATTAGACATGAGGTCTTTGCAAAGTCACTCCACCACTTTTTGACTGTTTAGTCATTTATAATGAAAACAGTTAACATTTATCAAGGATGCCCCAGGCACCAAGCACGGAGTTACCTTACATGCATCATCTCATTTAATTCTGAAAACCTTAATAAGGAGATGTATTATCTCCATTCAACAGATGGGCCTACTGAGGCTCAGGTAATCCACTTGTTGCATACACACTGCACAGCGGGAGTTCAGAGAGGCACCGGAGCACAGGCCTTTAACTCCAGACTATACGGAGGCAGGTTACCTAGCTGTCAGGGTTTCCGCACGGGTGAAATGCTTGAACACAGTTTGCAGGTTTCTATGGCACACAGTGGCACCTAACGAAGGACACTAATTATTATCTGTTTTGCCTGTTTTGTTTTGGGTTTCGGGGGGGGGGGGCCCCCCCCGGAGCACGGAGTACTAGAGGAAAGCACTATCCAAACCTATTTTGCTGACACTGTATGGGATGTGGAAGCCATGCCGTTGCTCATCCTATAACCCAGGTCACAGCGCACAACTGACCGTTTCAAGGAAACATGAGAGGTCAGGGAGGCTTTTAATTAAAACACCAACATGACATGAGGAGAAGAGCAAGCCAAACTAAACTCCTAAAAGCAGATTTTTTTTTTTTTTTTTTTTCAGAAATGCTAGCATTTCAAGAGGAAGGGGCTGATCTTGGCCGACAGCAGGGAAAGAGCTGCTGACCAGGAGTTTTGCTTGAGGGAGGAAGAACAGACGAGAAGCACAGCCCTCAGAAAAGCCACTTTGGCACCCCACGTCCATCTGCTACAAAGTCCGTTCCCACGAATGATGGCACCGGATCCTTATAGCAAGGCCCGTTGAGTGAATCTGAACACAGGTAAGGAAAACGAGGGCTGGACAGAGTCAGGATTTGCCGGATTCACGTAGCTGGGGTGCCACGGCCTCTGAAGAGCGCCTCGCTCCCGTGCTGGGTCTGGGAGCAGTCCCACTAGGCCAGCCGAAGCCAAGAACAATTGCATGCAGAAAGAGCAAAGGGCATGTGACACTTTGTCCCTGTGCTATTCTTATCTTAACCACTCCTGGGTTATAGTCAGCTTCCTCAAAGCACTCAATTAACTGATCCTCCCGAGTGTCAAAAACACCTGTTCAAACCTTAGTAGACGATACTGCACAATTATGTGCCTTCCACGACAAACTTCTCTTCCAGGAAAAGCCATTCTTCCTCCAGAACTCAACCCCACACTGTCCATTTGGAACAAACAGTAAAATTAGATTTTATATCTCTCAGTTTCTGAACACAAAGATCCTCAGTGCACCTTTAAGAAACTACGAGCATTGCCCAATGGACTGTTTTTATTTTAAAGGTTGGAAAGAATTCTACCAGCCCCCCTCCCCCCCCCAATTTCAAACTGTTGATTGTGTGCCTGGTTTACGATGTTATTAAAAAACAAAGAGGGGTCTCAAAGTTTACAACCAACCCCCAGAGTGGGGAAGTCAAAAGAAAAACTTCATGAAATGCGGCTCAGGACCATCAGCAGCTTCCATCTGATCCAGAGTAGGTATGAGTAGACAAATGCCGATCCCTTAAGCAATTAATTTGAATAGAACAGCCACTCTGCATTTGAAATCACGCCTGCAAAATGGAAGCAGGGCTTTGAAATAAGCCAGGGATAGGCTTGAGCCCCAATTTTTACTTGCTGTAGACTTTGAACCTATCACTTAACCCCTTCGAGCTTCTGATTTTCCATTCGTATAATGGGAATACTAGCACTCAATTCACATGTAGTGTGTTTAACTCTAGCTTCCTTCCTTCTCGGCTTCTCATATAGGCCAAAGATAAGCTTCCAGGCTCTGGCTAATATAAACATGACTCAAGGATCTGAGAGGGAGAATTTATGATCTTGGTGGACATGATGCCTATCCCTTATGTCTACATGGCTGGGGTTCAAGGGCAAAGAACAGAAAATACTGGAGACGCGGAACGGACATCTGTGAAAATGTGTGACTCACAAATTAGGAGAGTGGATTACCATCAATTACTCTCCCAAACACCCCACATGGGCACATCTAAAAACAAAAGGTGGTGACCTCCCAAGTAAAGCCCAAGTAGGCCATGCCCCAATTTCCACGAGGCTAACATTGCTCCAAAGTAATTCTGGACTCTGTCAAAGACCGTGGCACATGTGTGCATTCCCAACGAGGCCTTCATCCTTTAAGGGATGAGCTGTATGTAAGTCTAGACTTTACACTTGCACCTGAGTAACCCGCTCAGCAATTCAGGAGTTTGCAAAGTATTTCAATGCTCATGCTCTCTTTTCCTCCTCAATACAACACTATGCAGCAAGGGGGTCATCCCTGGTTTTAAGCACGTACAGCTTGTCAGCGGGGTGCCGGGTCTAGAACTTCGGTCTCTTGATGCCAAGTCCCAATTTTATTTTCGCTTTGCCACCACAGCCCCTGGATGAGAGAAGTAAACAATATGCCAGAGAACACCAGTGGCATGACTGTTACAGAGGCACAGCCATAGTGTGAAGACAGCAGAACATGCCTGTGATACCCCTCCTCGGGGGCTCACCTTCATGGCTCAGAGGTCAGACTCTGAGGTAAGGGACCAATGGGTTCAAATTCCAACTCGACCGCTCCAAGTGAGCGTGGGCAAATTATTTTCACTCTGCAGACCTCAGTCTCCTAATTGTAGAAGAAAAACAAGGACGGTATCTGGACTTCACTGGATGGCCGTGAGGATAATGCACGCAAAGTAGAGTAGAGGGGTGCTTAGCATACTTTTAGAAGACGTTCAGTATATATGTGTGTATACAGATGATACTTTTAGTATATGCCTTTGGTAACAGCATTAACCGCATGAAATACACACTATTATTAACCGAATGAAATTCTGCTTGCGCGGCCAACCTCCATTGGCTCAGATATCCTGAAACACGACACAGGGGAAGTCGGACAGGTGGAGCAGGGCAGCCCGGGCGCTTACCGCGAGGATGGCGATGACAATCCCCACGGCGCAGAGCACAGCATCATTTATGGTCTCGCCGGTTTTCAGAGGATACTTGATGCTCTCGTCATTGCAGTAAAACCCTCGGTGGTAAGGCTTGATGGTGCTTGTCTCAATGATGAGGAAGGGCAGGCCCGCTGGTCCAGATGCGACCATCACAGGCACCGGAAAATTAAAAAAGGGAGAGGAGAGAGAAAGGGAAAACATCAATAAAAGGAGGCCGGAGAATGACTTGCAGCAAAGACCAGCCCAGGTAACACCATTGCCAGGGACAGGAATTCGTGCATTTGCAGCTATGTACAGCCCACAGAGAGTGTTCAGCACCTGCAGTCCCTCTGCTTCCTGGTCACCCCCGGGAGGAGCAACGCATTATTCTCTGGTCTTGTCCGAGGGCACAGTGGGAGGCAGTGGAAGAGCCGGGGAGGAGCTTTCCCACGGCGCGACCACACCCTGCGGACATTAAAGCCCAAGGAGTGACAATCGCCAACAGGGCCCCGAGTCTAATGATGTGTCGTTCGCCAAGTGCATCGGACATCACCATTCCCCGCTTCAAGAGGCTCATCGCAAGGCTCTGCTGCTTGGAGCCGTGAAGGCCTCGGGGTCAGATAAGCTGAATTTGGATCTCAGGTCCAATGTGACCCCTGGTTGTCATTCCATATTTCTGAGCCTCAGTCTCCCCACACATGAGTTGCAGGGACGACAAAAGGAGAACCAGCCACACGCGACTTCCAGCGTAGCGCCTGGCACACGGTCGCTGCTCAGCGGTGCCCTTTTCAACCATTTTCTTCCACTGAAGAGTCCCTACCAAGACGAAGTAGAGCTGAGCAGAGGGCCCTGCGGCCTGGAGCTCTGGAGCGGAGCCCAAGGGCATCTGGGAGCACCAAGCTGCTCCTGCAGCTGCTGCTGGTTTATCAGTGGCTCGGCTCAGATGCCATTCCCTTAAAGGTCATGGCGAGTGGATTCCATCACCTGCCAGGAAAAGTTCCTCACAACCCTGAAGCAAAAAGCGAAGGCCTACAAGATCTCTGGCCTGGTCACTGCAGCAGCCTCCGCATCGGTCTCCTGACCTTCACCGCCTCTCACACATATCTACCGGTTCACTTCCTGACCACGAGCACGTCACTGCCTTGCTTAAGTTTCTTCCGCAGCTCGCCGTTGCACCGCACGAGATAAAGTGTGACCTCTGGAGTGCCCCGCGACCTGGACCTCCCTTCTCCTGACTCACGGTCTGTGGCCCCCTTGACACAGCCTCCAAGAAAACGGGACACGGCGACTCTTGCCTCAGTTCCTACTCTTCTCTCAGACTGGAAGACCTCTTCCCCTACCACCCAAGTTCAATACCAAGCTGCAATACCACTCCCCTAAGTAAAAGGTGAGCCAGTAAATGTTAGGACTAGGGAAGACCAAGAAAAACATCCTGTTAACAGCCACCACCGATGTAAGAGCCATCCACAATGTGTAAGGCATTCATTCATTTCTGTATTGGATCTCCCAACAACCTGAAGAGGTCATTTTACACCATCGGTTAAGCATGTGCCGTTCATCTTCAAGTGAAGAGAACAGTGACTACGAGAGAATATTTAGAGAGAATATTTAGCTCCTTCAGGGTCTCTTAGTCTACCCCCAAATGCCTGAATCCCTGATTTAACTTTGCAAATTGGTTTCGTCCAGCTGTGAATTTCATGAGCCGAAAAATCCCAAGATAAGCGGTGGTTGAAAAGATAAAATTCCACTTTTGTGTTTTTCAAAAAGAATTGAATTCACGTCACGTTGCTCGAAGCCCCAGACCGCCTCTTAAAAAAAAAATGTACCACGAACTCCACAATTTTTCAATTACTTTGGTCCAGACCAGCAGCGATAAAAACGCTCACTTTCTAAAAAGTGTATTTATGTATCACTGTGCATACACACATGGATTTATTTGGTTTTATTCTTTGGATTTATTTGAATTCTACGGCTATTTATTTTGTGACCCCTAACTGCTTCCTGCTAGAACAACAATTTACTTTATCAAATTCATACTAGTGCTTTGAAAAGAAAGAAACAGCAACATACCACAGCATTGTGCCTGACCTTCTCAAAGTAAACACAGAGGGACCCTGGAAGGCAATAACCATTAGCTCTTGAGACCGTGTCTCTGCAAAAGAGTGAAGCGGGAGAGGTGAGGCAGGGAGGGAATGCTGTGGCAAGGAAGGGGCAAGAACAGTCAGCTGATCTTTGGGGGGTGGGGCGCTGGGAGAGAAAAAAATATCCTACGGGCCCAAACCATCTTCATTCCACTGCCTCAACATTTTGAAATGGGGCCAAGTTGGCTACGAAAAGTAGCCAAGAAGCCAGCACTATGATATTAATAGTCCGCTTTTAAAGCTCCACACATCGTGATAAAAACCTTGAGCTCCACGTCTGAGCCCGGCCGCAGCCTCTGTGGTGCCTGGGAGCCAAAGCGTTGCTAATAAACTCAGGAAGGGAACAGACCTCGAGTGCCTCACATTTGGGCTGGGCTCGTAGGCCCCAGCTTCTATTTTTAATGGTGTTCACATGATAGGCCTGTAAAACATATGTTTCTAAGGACAATAAAACACATATAAAAGAGCTGTGGAGTTCGACAGAACTGGGTTAATGACCTCAACTCTGCTCCCAGCTACTTGAGCAAGTTATTTCACATCTCCAAAACGCTCTTCTCATCTCTGCAATGGGAAGAGTGCAGTCTAGCTTTGGGATTGCTGGGATGATGTCATCTACTACTACACTAATCCATTCATTTAGTCGACAAATATTGATTCAATCTTCACTATGTACACGAGGTACAAAGACGGCACGAGCCCTGCCCTCAGGGAGCTTGCAATCTAGTAGGGCAAGACGTCATGGAATAAAATCAGTGCAGGAAGGGGTTTTAGTTAGAGGAAACCAGGCAACAGCACTGGGTCATGTCAGCTCCGGGTCTGGCACGCACCACAGACACTCAATAAATGTTAAAAGGACGAAGAGGGGGTGGGGGGGAACAATCCCACACAGAGGAAGTTAGTAAAGAAAATCTGTTTATTCCGTTCCTTTGCCCTCTCTTAACCTGGGAGCGATCCAAATCCTTTCTCTTCCTCCCTTGCCTAAAGCTCGGGGAGCTTCCGGTTCTGATCATGTGGATGGTGCCCACAAACAGTCAAGAAGTTGGATCTGAATGTGTTCTGTTTATTTTCTTGAAAGGCATGGAGAGAGCATTTAGAAGACCCAATGGCTTTTTCTGTTTCCTCTAAAAATGTGTGGTATGATCGGGGGTGATGCCAGTCAAGTCTTGACTTCACTCCAGGAGAGAGTAACCTCGGATTCCCTTCAGTTGATGGGAAAAGCATAGGCATTTTCTCCAATGGGGTAGCTGGTCCTCAAGAGACACAGCACCATGCCTTCCTTGCCTCTCCAGGACCCAGAGAGGAGGCTGTTCTTTTCCAAAGCAGGATCTCCATTTCCAACACTGGCACCGTCTTTATAACCAACTATTATAGTTCTTGATCACTTCATTTCCAAAAAATTCCCAGTGCTAATGACTAGGAACCTAGAGGTGAATACATCATAGTACCCGCCCTCAGGAGGCTTATGGTATTTTAAGAAAGTTGCAAAAACAAGCGCACTAAAATATTTCTAAATGGGCAGACTGACATATGTATAGATTACAGGGAGGGCCCATAAGGCTTCTTCTTTAGTGTGGGACACTAAAGATGGCCCACAGAGGACAGGAGGCTTGAGGGAACCCTTATGTGAGTAGGAGGTTTCTGGGGTCCAGGGACTAAGTACGCTCAAGAAACTCAAAGTAGTTTAGGGACTTCAATAAGGCAGTCATCACAACCGATGGCCATTACGAGAACACGATTTTAGATTTGGCTCCAGAGCTGGAAGAGACACACAGGTGGACAACGAAAGGAAGAAAGACAGAGTCAACACAGACAACAGCAAGAGTAGCTAACATTTACTAAATAACTGTTTTGTGCCCGAACTGTGCTGAGGAACCCCACATAAAGGACTGCCATCTGGACAATCTGGATACCCATTATTGTTCTCGGCACTGACTGGGTCACTGTGCTGAGGGAATTTAAGTCCCAACCTTCAAGTGGCCCAAAGGCTAATGGGAGAAACAGTCATAAAAATGAACACATTCAGTCAAGGGATTAAAGGTTCAAAGGGATTAAAGTGACTTACCAGAGACACTCGGACTTTCGAGTGCTTTCTAAAGTAAGCGAGTCACTTGAAACAGAGAAGGAAGCCCCGAGGTATATTGATAAATTAGTTAAAGCTCAGCAAATTTCATGGCCTTTGAAGAAAAAGATGCTTTATATGGAACAGTCAAGGCAACAGCATGGGCGATTACTCACTAAATATTCACCACATACACATCTGTGCTCAGTATCTAATTTAACCAACACTCTGAAGCCAATATCCTGGAATTTAGATTTATCTATAATGAAAGGTACATTACAAGCTTTTTGCAAAGTAGAAACAAGAAGTGTGTGTGTGTGTGTGTGTGTGTGTGTGTGTGTGTGTGTGTGTATACATACCATCTGGTGATTCTAGACCCCAATTCAAAGCACTTCTCCTTCTTTTAATCAAGGATCAATTAACTTCCTATACCTCCAGGGACCTCTTGGGATATGTAGGCTGCAGAGGAGGCGAAATACGAACTCACTGACAAACACTTAACGGGCAGAAAATCAAAGCGTGAAGAAAGGCCCCTGTGTTGGGTTCGGGCCTTTGAAACTTCTTGGGCTTTGAAAAACTAACACTTGAGCAGGTTGGGTGGTTTGGGGGTGGGGTGTAAAAAAACACAGGATAAGTTTTTGTGGCCCACCCATTGATAAAGTCATGTGGGAAGTGTTACCAAAGTGACCCAGCCCCAGAGCCCTGCTCCCTTCAGCCACAGCTTCACGTTGGCACAAAATTAAACACAGCCCCCTGCTCTCAAAGTGCTTTTTTAGAAAGGGAAGGAGTGGGGGTGGGAGAGTGAATAAGAAATCTTTGCACTTGGGCGGGACCCACGGCAGGACCTGACTCAGAGCATCAGGAAGGGGCTGCCCGTGGCTCCTATATACCAAGTCCTTCGAGTGCCTTTCCCGGAGTTGTCCAACTTGCCATTTCATCCAATCTGTGGTTA